CCCAGGGGCTCGGGGGGCTGCAGCCAGCTCCCTCGGTGGGTGGATGCCGGGCTCCAGGCCCACCAGTGCCTCCACCAGCTCCACAGTTGGAGGCGAGGTGAGAAAGCCCTGCTAGGCCAAGCTGGCTTCCCCTTGTCTGCTGCAATGACTCCCCCTCCCATTCCTGCCACTCCTGAGCTGCTCCGGGAGGCGGCGGGGAGGAGTGCCAGCTCTGCGGCCTGTGCCCCACATGTGGAGCTCTGACTGCAGCCCCTGGACTGAACCCTTCCATATGGGCACCTTCCAAGGCTGTCTGGGGGTTGCTGATGGAGCGCCACACACGGGGCAAAAGCTTCCTGGCCCCCCACCCCAGCGGTGCGGCACGGCGGTGGCAACAAAAGCTGCAGATGAGGGGGGCAGAGCTGCCCTCCACCCCAGCCAGCCTGCAGCTGTTTGTTAGGCTGCATCCCTGGGTGCTCCATAGGGCAGGGGTGCGGCAGGGACCACCTACAAGTTGGTCTGGGAAGCCTGCTCCCCAGCCAGCCCCCACCTGAGGGCCAGACAGCAGCCAGCATGGCCCCTTGTGGGGGGGCAGGGACCAGGGTTATTCCGCCTCCCTCCAGCATCTGACGGGCGGGACAGGAGGGGGCTTATTCTGCCACTCAGTGGCAGTTGAGGTGGGCAAACCTGGCTGCAGTCCCCCGGGGGTAGTGGGGGTAGAGGGGAGAATAACCCCCCTCCCCGCCCCCTCTGTGTCAGCAAGGATGGGATGCCTGGCACACCCAGCTCAGGTCCCTGCTGGTGGGACAGGGAGGGGGGAATGAAACCCCCTCTGGCCAATTCAGCCGAACTGGCCACTCCCTCCCCCAGTACAGCCTCCCTGCAGCCGAGGGCATGCTCCAGCACTCCCAGCTCCCGGCCTCAGCAACTGCAGGCATGTGCCTGCATGTCTGTGCTGTTACAAACTGATTCTGCCTAGCCAAGTTAGACTAACCTGCAAAGGTTGAACCAATTCAGGCTCCGGCTTTTTGAATGTCTGTCCCTAGACTATATTATCTCCAGTTGGTTCACAAACCCTCATCCTTGTGGGGGCTGTAGAAACTAACCCCATGAACCTCACCCTGACTCTACTGTAGTGCTTTAAAAATCCCAGCCTTAATTCCAACAGAATTATATATTGTATTCAAAAGATGCATTTTGTTTTGTAATGAAAAACTCTTTCAGGAGACTATTCTTAAATAGAAGCAATTTGACACAGAAACGGTAGATTGTGTTATTTTGCTGAAAGTAATCACTCATATGCAATCCACCAAATGAGCAAAGATTTGGTGATTGGCTTGTTATAACATGATTCTCATGCCTCTCCCAACTATTTGAGATATGATTTCCTATACTTGTTTCTCAGTGAAGGCACATATATGGAGGCATGGTGGCCTCTTGTAGTTCAGGAGCCCTTTGACCACATCTGTGAATTTAAAGTGTGATTACTCAAAGCCTCATTCTTCCTCCTTCCACCAAAACCAAAAACTTTTTTAGAGGATACGTTTTGTGATATGTCATTGAGGGATCTGCCCTGTACTTTTCATGAGGTAAGCATGCACATGAGGCAGGCGTGCACCATGGAATAGCTAAGAATATTGTGTATTCACACCTCACTTACCTTAAGGTAATTTGATTGTGTGCCCATATCCTTGTTTTTTCCTTATTTTCTCCTTCTACAGTTGGAAGTAGTCTCCAATTACAGTTGAAAATTTGGAGAAGATCCCCTGGGCTGATTTTTCTATACGTTCTAGTGGAATGGCATTTTCTCCCCATCCAAACTCAATTTCCTTTTCTTATCAGTTAATCAGGAGATGGCTGATGGGGATAGCTTCTGAATAGATCCTTAATTAGGCTAACCCTGTCAATAGTTTATGGGATTATATACCTTAAATATGTCCCATGTTTAGCACCCTCTGTTAAACAATTAGCAATGTTGCCTCTCTCTCAAACTGTGCTTTCTCCATTGGCTTACATTATCTCAAAATGCTAAGATACACAATGAAATGTTCAATTTTATAATCCTGAAATAATTTTAATGTCAACTGTCTATCTTTGTACAGGTGCCATCTTCAAACAGTTCAATTATTCATGTGTGGTGCACAATTTTGACTTTAGAGCCTAATTCTCAAGTACAGCAACGAATAGTAAGTGCATTTTGCCATTCTCAGAAGTCGAAATGGCCCTGACCTTTCATGTTCTGAAATAAATTAAGGTCAGAATGACCCAGGCAAAGATTTATTAACAGCTTGTTTCAGCAGCTGGATGCAGGAATAGAGTTAATATTAAGTTTGTCTGTTCTTTTTTATTTGTTTTTTCTTGGTAGATTGTTTTCAGTCCTCTTTTTATCATGAGGAGCCATCTTCCAGACCCTATTATCATACATTTGGAGAAAAGAAGTCTGGGCTTGAGTGAAACACAAATAATTCCAGGAAAAGGACAGGAAAAATCACTGCAGAATATAGAACCTGATCTTACTCATCATCTGACATTTCAGGCTAGGTATAATTTGTGCTTTTCATAAATATGATTTTGTCTGCATAGAAAAAAAACAATATTTTGTCATTTAATTTACAATGCAATGTTTCCAGGAATATTCCCTTACCTTGCATTGTGTAGAACAGGTAGTTGCATATGCTCCTGAAAATTGTGAGAGGAATTTGTAAACCAGGCACAGTTATCCTCAGTACTTCCACATCTGACTCCTTATAGATACAAGTTCTGGCATTTTGAAAAGGAAGATACTGTAAACCCCTGTGGTGCCATATACTACCAAGTTTTGTGAATCTTTTTCAGCTCATATCACTGGTTAATTAAAAAAAAAATTTTGGACCAGATTATTCAGGTTTCAGTGTGTGCTTATGATAGTGCACAACATGGCATGCAAGCCTTACTTTGGCACTGTAAATGACTTATGTTTCTTTTTTCATTTGACAGGGAAGAGGATGATCCATCAGAATGTGCAGTTCCTATCTCAACAACACTTATCAAACAGATAGCCACTAAATCCCATCCAGGAGGCAATGTGAATCAAATTCTCGCTGAGTTCTATGGAGCAGATAGCACTGCCCAGCTTGCTTGGCCATATAATCGAAAAGATTCAGACAGGTAATATACTAAATATTCTCCATTAAGTCTGCTTTGTCTTGGAAAAGAAGAAGTATTTATTAAAATAACTTAAAAGCTATAATATTGTATTAATTTCTGTTATTTAATTTCCTTTTTCTAGGCATGGGGGAAACCAATAGAAAATGTTCTTATAGCTAAAATGCTTATAAGTAAATAATGTTCTTATTTAGGTAGTTCTTATAGCTAAAATAATGAGTCTTAAATTGGTGCTGAAGTAGTAATGTAACAACAAAAATATATAGGCACTTCCACAGCTGAGACACTGAAGTGTAGCAATGTTATTTAACGTGCATAAGACCCACAATTTGTTCATTTCCAGTAGACCCAGCATCAGGGCTAAGTACTGTTGAGTCCCTATGGCACTATAATGGGTCTTATACCAGGCAAAGAGACTAAGACACAGTTGTCCTAAGCTAAAGGCAAGTTTATTAAACCCTAATAGATACAATTCTAATTAAAATTGAAGTGGCAGTTTAAATTATTTTAGGTTTGTAGCTAGTCAAAGCAGATGCTCACCACCCCAAAATGTTATGAACACAACTTCACTGGTTGATAAGGCTCTGAAGTCTTGTCTGGGGCTCCTGGCTCCCACATCTGAGGTCAAGACAGGATCTTGGATCGATGACAAGATCTCTTCATGCTTTCTTCAGGAATGTTCTGAGGAGGGGTTCCAATTCTTGTCCTTATATACCTTATCGTTACTGCGTTATCATTAACACATTAACATAAACTCTTCCCTACAATGCATAGTAATAAGCCTATTTCCACTTGCTGTATATGATTATCTGGAACTGGAATTTTCCAGTAGCTGAAACCTTTTTATTCTCAGGTAGGGGTTAGTTTTGCTATTGATAATTTCCCTTTTCTCCCAAGCCAAATTCCTTATTTTGGTTGGCCCAATTCCTGTTTTGATTTTGGTCATCTGACCAGGGTATACCCAGACTTCTTCTTTCCCTTTGCCAAGGACGGGTCACAGTCAGGGTGACCTGTCTGTCAAATCTCTGCTGGGTTGCAGCTAAGAATAAGCATGCAGCAAATACATACATCAGTCTCTTGCCAAGCATCAGTACTATTGAACTGTGCCCAGAAGTCTGTGGGTCCCAACAGTCAAAAAGCCCAAGGCCGAATTGATTCAGGCTTTGCAGGTTAATTTAAACTGCAGAGATTAAATTGAAACAGAAGTGAACAGACATTTACCTTTGATTCCGGAAATGCAGCCACATGCCTGCAATAGATTCATAGATTCATAGATGTTAGGTTCAGAAGGGACCTCAATAGATCATCAAGTCCGACCCCCTGCATAGGCAGGAATAGGCAGGAAAGAGTACTGGGTTCAGATGACCCCAGCTAGATGCCTATCCAACCTCCTCTTGAAGACCCTCAGGGTAGGAGAGAGCACCACCTCCCTTGGGAGCCCGTTCCAGACCTTGGCCACTCTAACTATGAAGAAGTTCTTCCTAATGTCCAATCTAAATCTGCTCTCTGCTAGCTTGTGGCCATTATTTCTTGTAACCCCTGGGGGCGCCTTGGTGAATAAATCCTCACCAATTCCCTTCTGTGCCCCCATGATGAACTTATAGGCAGCCACAAGGTCGCCTCTCAACCTTCTCTTGCGGAGGCTGAAAAGGTCCAGGTTCTCTAGTCTCTCCTCGTAGGGCTTGGTCTGCAAGCCCTTAACCATACGATGGTTCAGGGCTCAGGCCAGAAGTTGGGGGGCACTGGAGCACAGCTCCCTGGCATGTAGCCAGCATGGGCTGTGCATTTGCTTCCTCTTCCTGCTGCCCCCGAAGTCTGTGGTATTTGCAGTTCAAAATCACAGCAGCAGGACTCTGCAGAGTTGTTCAGTACTTCCTCTTCCTGCTTCCAGGTGTCTCTGGGATTTGTAATCCACAGTTTCAGCCAGCAATAAGTTTGAGTGGAGTAAGGGGTGTCTAACACCCCCTCCCTGGCCCCAGATTCCAGCCGGGGTTTGCCTTTGGGGGTGGGGAGAGCAGTTGTCCCTGTCCCCCCATGCAGACTGGGCTGCATCGCCAGCTGGGCTTGCCCCACCCCAGCCCCCTTGTCAGCCATCTCTCACTGTTCCAGCTAGGGAGCAGAGGGGTGGTACCAGCCCTGCTTTCTGAAGCAGACAGCACAGCACAGCCCAGGGCTGGAAAGCATATGAGGATGCTGGGGGACTGTGATTTAACTTGAAGCAAGAAGGTGTCTGGGACAGAAGTTTCATAAACTGATTTGACCTAAATCAGTTAAGTCTGATACTGCGCTCAACCAGGTTTATCTTAAACCAGTTTCAGACATTTTGAAACTGGTTTATGTGCACTGAGCTTCTGTTCCATTGTAGGTTTAAACCAGTTTCTGATCACGTAAACTGGTTTATGTGTAACTTCTGTCCCTAGCCCCAGTGTGCTCTATTTTCTAATTTACCAATCATGTTGGGTAGGGAGTACATGAATAATCTGAAGCCCTCCTAGTTCAGGGCACTGACTTCAGGACCACATGGCTTCAGTTCTGACCCAGCAAAAAATTATTTGCTGAACTAAAATCTCATGTTTTAATAAACTGGGATTGGGATTGTGGTGTGGGGGTGCTGGTTGTGCTTCCCAGGGTGTCTGGGAGATGTGAGGTAAAGCACTTTTTGGGGAGCTATTGCTTCTGCCCCAGAAAGGAAGCACCACCTGGCGGCTCCTGCCCCCTCAACCCATCTCTCCCTCCCCCCACCTAGAGCAGGGATAGACGCCTGTCTTGGCTCACCAACCCTCAAGTAGCAACTCACAGCTATAGCTCCTAGTCCGGCCCCTGCTCAGCAGCCCTCTAGTGGCAAGTCACAGCTGTGCAGGTGTGGGGCAGTCAGAGAAGGTTTTTAGCCAGAAGGTGCGACTGATCCAAACACAAAGTAGCATTAACACTGATCAACATTTGAGCAGCTCAAAGTGTAAGAAAGCCCTGAGTAGCCAGGTTTTAGATATCAAGGAGGAGGGGAGGTATATCTAGTTAAAAATCAGGCTAGTTTTAATACTAGCTATTACATCAGTAGTGTTTCTGGAAGTCTTCTACTGAGGCTCTTGCAGCCAGAAAATAATTCAGATTGGTTCAGAGGCTGCTCAGCATTACATTGAAGGGTTCACACCAACCCCAGGTGTAAGAAATCTTGAATCAGTTCTTTGGAGTTCCACCACCTTAACCACACCCTGCAGAGAGGGTTGTTCATGTTGGTTTTCAGTACAGATTTGTCTGATAGTATCTCAGTCTATTTCAGAGTGGTAGGTTATAAAGCAGTACTATAATCAATGTTCTGAAGAGCCTAAATTGATTAAAGGCAATTTATTTCACAATATGAATGATTTTCTTTTATCTCTCTCTTGCTATCTTATTTCAAACAGTAATGAACAGCTCACTCAGTGGGATAGCCCAATGCGGGTGAAACTATCCGTGTGGAAGCCATGTGTTAAAACTTTGCTGATAGAACTCCTGCCATGGGCTCTGCTTATAAACCAGTCCAAGTGGGACCTCTGGCTATTTGAAGGAGAGAAGATAGTCCTACAGATACCTGCTCAGAAAATAATTATCCCTCCAAACTTCCAGGTAGCCATACTGTTCAAATTAACAGGCACAACTTTTCTAAGTGTTCAAACTTTATTCAGGGGTGCTTACCAACTCACATGGTTCAGGCTTTTTTGGCCATTAAGTTTACCAGAAACATAGTTAGGGTCAAAGATATAAATATTAGCTGGAATCTGCCATACTGAATGGGCAACATAGGATAGATACAGACAAAGGCATGTCAACAGGGTAGGATGCAATATAGTGATTGACAAGCTGGGATTGCAGTACAGTATAGCTAATAGGGTTGCTATGAAAGTATGTACTTTGAGAGAGAGTAGAGAGAAGATCTTAACAACTACCTGAACTACTTTCGTAATTATGCATAATTGGATTGCTTTCTTCAATTTTCTGCTTGTTATCCCTACTGCTTGTTTGGTGCTGATCACCTATCACTAGTACTGGCAGACCTGACACCACTGTCCCAGTAATCTGTGGTGGTTTCTAACCAGAGTAGAAGATTGCATAGCTATTTTCCCTTTGTTTTAGTGAGGCCGCCCAACACCTCATCCTAGCTGCACACTACCTGATAGTTTAGCTTGCCCTTTGTGAATTTATGTTGGCCTGAGTAGCATAGCTGCTATCCAAGAAAGAATATTTGTTTTGAGAGGGACATTTTTTCATGGCATTGACAGCTTGTGGAGTTTATATACTTTTAGGCATGTTGATTATGTCTATAGATGGATTTGAAATGCAGAAGATAATATGACTGCTTACCTGTATCCCCTCCCGTTTCTTGAATTTGAACAACACTGATTTAATTGGATTTCCCTTTGATATGGTTTTTTGGCTAGCCACACACTTAATGCAATTCCCAACCCCGTCTCTGAATGTAAACACAATTAGATTAATTTTGTGCATCATCCGAGGTAGACAACCTGTTATTTAAACATTGCCGTTTGTTATTTTTTTAACCGTGGACACATTTATATAGTAGCGTACCATTTATAAGACCTAGAGTATAAAATTAAATGGGAAAAATGTCAGTCTTGCACACTGGTAAAAGAATTTGGTTCTAGGTAAATGCACTCTTGAAAACTACTATTAACTGTAGGAAGAATGTTAGAGTTATTAGAAAGTGCTAACTCTGGTGAGTATTCATTTACAGGAAGCTTTTCAAATTGGGATCTACTGGGCAAGCACAAACACTCTGCACAAGTCAGTGGCAATCAAACTCGTCCATAACATGACCTCTCCAAAATGGAAAGATACGGAAAATGGAGAAGTGGTAACATTGGATGAAGAAGGATTTGTTGAAGCTGAAATAAAACTTGGTGCCTTCCCAAGTCATCAAAAGGTTAGGAAGAAATTGTGATGATTTATAACTTTATCATTTAAAAAACAGAATAATCCTACAGCAGATGAAAACTATCAAATGCATACAACATAAAACCTTCACTCAAAATCAGTTTAATAGGTTCAAAAGCACAATGGAAGGATAAACAATGGACCAAATGCAATTAAAAGAATTAGGTCATCTGGACATACTGTACAACTCATCCATAAAATGCAAAATATTGCATTACACAAATTAAACTTGTGAATTCCCAAACATGTTGACCAATAAAGAATAATTCTGCTTATAAATTTCAGGGAGATCAGGTTATAAAATACATATCTCAACAAGGTTTTTAGACTGAAATGCTATGGTTCTCTCACTACATCATAATAAAAATGATTTGTGTGTGTTTCACTCTTTTTTTTTTTTTTTAATTATCCTACAGTTGTGTGAATTCTGCATTTCTTCTCTGGTTCAGCATAGTATTCAAATTCTACAGATTGAAGACAAGACAACCATAATTAATAATACATCCTACCAGTTCTATTATAGACCACAGATTTCTGTTTCAAGGCCTCAGTCAGGAGAGAAGGTAAAGTATTTTATATTATTTTTGTTTGGTTTTCAGAATAGGTAGGAATAAAATCTCAAATTCATTTGACAAAAATTGAACAAAAAATAAGTTAAAAAGTTAATAATGTTAAATTATGTTTAATTAAAAACAAAGCAACTAGAGCAAATTCAGCCACAGTTGTTAACTGCGATCGAAAATCTGTACACAGTGACAGATCTCTTCGCTTGCAGTATTCGACTTGGTCTCCATGGGCATCTTTACACATGCTCAGGGGGTTGGGGCACTTTAATTAGAGTGGTTCCAAGAGCCACTCTAATTAAAGCACCTACGGTGTCTTGTGTATTCAACATCCTGCACTTTGAAAGTGCAGTGGGGGTGCTTTAACTAAAGCTTGTTTAGTTAAAGCTCATTTAGAGCTTTAGTTAAAATGCCCTGCTGCCATTTTGAAGTGGGAGGATGCTGGATGCATGAGCTGAAGGGCTGCTGGTGTACGCTAATTAATTAAGACTGCTCCGGCGCACTGTAATTACAACACATCAGAGCAGCTTCCTCACACATCTACAGGCACCCCATCTGTTCAGAGACATTAGATTGCTTATGTAAAATAGGCAGTATAACTCATAATGGCTGTTGAAACAGTTCTGAGAACCAGTACTAAGTTCTCAAGCAAAAAAGATGCATCAGCCTTGCAAGCTGAAATATTTGAATTATCCTTTTGGGAAGCCTTCAGTTATCTAAATGAAAGGCATAGATCTGTAGAGACACCCAAATGTTATGTATTTTATGGAACTGCATCAAATCATTAATATCAGTTTTCCAGTGATAGCACAGCATATGTAAGAAATAAACTGACAATAAATGGAGTGCAGGCAGCATCAGATACAGTTTAATCAAATATTTAGTTACAAAATGGTACTTTTATTATAAGGTAGTCTGGAAGAATTTAGAATACAAAGAAAAGTAGTGGTGCAGTTTGCAGAAAACATTTTTGAAAAAGCTTCCTCCTCCTTAATTGCTGTACTTTACATTAGTTGAGCCCATGTCAATGTCTGCATTTTATTGTAACCCTAAAGCCAAGATGATGGTGAATCTAGAGAATTTGCAGTCCAATTTCTGTACTTCATTCATTATTTGCAACACACTTCTCATTTACACTAGTTTTAAATCATGGCAATGCCATTGACTTCAGTGAAATTATTCCTAATTTATATCTGTGTAATTAGGAACAGAGTTTACTCAGTTTGTTCACATGAGTATGACTGAGAGCAGAATTTAACTATGTATGCAGACCAGCATTCAGATAAGCTGATACTTAGTTACCATTCTCTGTTTGCTCCCTTAAAATTGATAAAAGTTAAATACGAATTTACTTTTTATCATAAACCATCATATCTTTACAGTATCTTTTTTTTCTTTCCAGTATATACACATACCAGACACTAGTACATTCAACATTTACCCAGCTGGGGAACCACCCAATGAAAAATTAAGCTCTGTTTCTTGCTGGGACTTCATGTCTGACATTAGTCAGTCTACTTCAGAAGTGTCCTCTATTCAAAAGCATATATTGCTAAGTTTCAGTCCAGGTGTGTGTGCTGACAATTCTCAGTGTTGGAGCCTGCCAGCTGTCATTAGACAAGACATTCCTAGACAGTGTGTGGCAGTACCCATTGGAAGCTGTAATGAAAGTGGATTTTGTACCAGGTATGTTGAATAAATGTGAATGACATTCTTCTTTGACTGTCAGGATAAAGCTTCATCTAAAAACAAAGCATAAGAGATTAATAGAAATGAAGTAATAACATGTGTCCACCATATGTAAAATCAGTTCTTACTTTAATTTTGAAAAATCGTTACCGCTTGATGTTTTAGACACTTTTATAATAAATGGTTGAATGTTATATTCATGTACAAGTTGTACTATTTTAATATTTACATGACTCCTCCTCATAAGTATATAATTATGTGCAGTATAAGGGAGAATGGAAAGATGTGTATTCAAGATGTGCCTTTTAACATTTCTGTGAAATAATATGAATTTAAGAGTTGGAGGTACAATAACAAGTAATAATTCCACAAGGCAGGTTTTATCTATAACAGATTGTGCAAAACTGAATATTAATACAGATGCTTTCAGGGTGATTATTTTAAGACAATTAAAAATTTTTACCTTGGACTTAAAGAATGCCATACATTTGTAACTCAAATATTGCAGCACTGTGCTAGAGCTAGGAGCTGAAACTGATTTTTATCATCCAGAATGAATGAAATTCATTGTACATTGGCAAAAAGTAATTAAATGTACTTTTTAATTGTGAATTTTTTTAATATGACATAGACCTCAAATGACCCATTAAAGAAAATCACACAAAATAAATAATCATGTAGAATTGGAAAAGTCTTGCCACATTTTTGTACTTTTTCTCTCCTCTAGCATTTCTAGAAATTCTAAGCGAGAGATTAAAATCTCTTGATTCTCAAAGATGTTGTCATGCGCTGTCTTTTAGCCATCTGATACTCTGTATTTGTTACATGTAACAATTTGAGAAGTGTTTTTGAAAGCTGTGCAAAAACAAACAATATGTATTTTGGTAAGAGTAGCAAGAAAAAATAGGAAAAACATCACTAGCAAGAAACTATTTGAAGAATGTGGCAAGAAAGGATTTCCAAGTTTAAAACGTACTATATCCAAATGCATGTTGTCCTTTCAAAACAATAAATTAATCCAACAAGTTAAAAATAAAACCATACTGCCAAGTCAGAGGCCTGACTTGAATTTCCAAGCCTAAACTCTAATTCTAGTCTAACTTACACAGGTGTAAATGAAAAGTAAGTGTACTTACATCAGTGTAAGTGAGTTCAGAATCAGCCATATGTTTTTTCACTTAGCCAGCAGATTTGGGTGGGGTGCTTTAGAAACAATATGTTCAGTCTGTACAGAGTAAGGAAGGAATACCTTAAATCGTTCAATCATTCAACAGCAGTTCCTGTGCATAAGTTAGTAATGTTATTGATGGACTCCAGAGATTCCCTTGCAAACCTCAAACAGAAGGATACTGGCCAAAATTAGGGCTTCTGGGAATGCGAAGAATAAAAGGCAGAGATAATGTGAATATCCTCAGGAATTTGAGCCAGATATGAAGAATCCATTCCTCTTGTTTCCAAAAACTGGCGTGTTCAAATTTTTGGATGCATTAGATTTTGGTATTACTTTAGAGGAGCCATTTTTTTCAGAAGCAACCACTAAAATTGCACATGCTAACAGGTGTTTGTGTGTGTATAATTTCCTGATATACATCATTTGGCTTAATATAGGTTGCAATGAATTCATTTTGCTTCAGAAAATGTCCAGAATACTCTATAGGAGTAGTCTAGACCACTCATACTGAAAGGAGTGATAGTCTTCAGAATCATTGCTGCAGAATATTCAGTTACTGATTTTATTTTAAGTAATACTTACATGTACAAAAAGCATACTCCTTCAGGCTTGTATGGAAGATGCTAGAATTTACTTCTGGAAATCTGGTCCCAAAATTCTTCTTGCTTACAGTTCATTACAAATGTATGCTAATTGAATTTGTGGTCCTACCAATACACCTCTGCTAAATTGTATCCATGAATAGTCCCAGTGAAATCAGCTATTTCTCTAAAGTTGTTTTCTGTTGCTTTTCTTTGTAAATTTATAACCAATAGGATTACTCACATACTGAAATGTGTAAGTTTCTGGAGAACAGGTCTGTAAGAGTAAAGAATTTTACAAAAGTGGTGTTGAATTTTTTAAAAATTGCTAAAGCAATAGTTAGTCCAAAAATGATCTAAACATGTGTATCACCTTATTTTTCTTCAGGGCTATAGCACTGACTTATCAAGAGCATCTAGGGGTGACATACCTAACTCTTACGGAAGACTCTAGTCCACGCATAATTATCCACAACAGGTGCTCTGTCCCATTGCTTATGAAGGAGAATATCAAAGGTATGGAATTTCTGTTGCAATGCAGTAATTGAAATGAGCATTGTTTTACTAAATCATTGGGCACTGTATCCATAATATAGGGTTTCAGTTCTGTATCTCCATTGGTTATGACTAGAGCTGAGGGGAGAACATAGATTCCACTTTATGGAGAAATTTTAAACTCTTGACTTTCATTAATGCTGGGAGCTCTGGGAGCCCCAGCTCTGATACAGTCTTCCTGGTAAGCTGCTCTAGAGATGGAAGCCCTGGGAAGCCTAGTCTTGAGGCAGTCTACTTGGTTACTGCCTTGAAAGCTTGAGAGATCTTGGTATCCCCAGCTCTGAGGCAGCCTGTCTGGAGAATACCTTAACTGGAATGTCAGGGAGCCATGAGCTTGGTTGCAGAGACTTTCAAGGCAACCAGCTCCTCTTTTAAGTGAGGTGCCAAGGATTCAAGAAGCCAAGCCAGTAGATTTATTAGTGGAATTTTATCAAAATCAACATAGTCCAAAGGAACATGCATTTTTCAGAAAATTCAAACATATGTTTGTCAACATATCTCTGTCCTGCTCTAGTTATGAAAATATATTCTGCCAAACAGTAGGAATCTGTTCAAATATAACCTATGTTATGAACAAAAGCATATGTAAAAAAAAAAAAAAAATAGTAAGCTTTTTGTGTGTTGGTAAGATATCAGAAGGAGCAGTTGAAAATATCCTGTTTGTGGAAACAGATGAGTTTTGATTGATCTCTAAGTGCGGATATTTAAAGAGCCTAATTTTAGACCTTCTGTAAAATTTCAGACACTACAAAGTTTGAAGTTTATTGCAGGAAGATTCCAGCTGAATGTTCAGTTCATCATGAGCTTTATCATCAAGTCTCTAACTACCCAGATTGCAAAAACAAAGACTTGCTACCTAGTGTTCTTCTGAAAGTGATATCACCAGATGAGTTAATGACTGAGTGGAGTGATGTTATAGACATTAATAATCAAGGCACACAGGTAAATCATCATAAAATATTTTTCAATTCAGTCTCTCAAATGGCTTTGTTCTGGATCTGCAATGGAGCATTGCTGCAGTCCAAACTTGTATATAATGTTTGTACAGGCTAAAGCAGGGGAGTCCAGCTTATGACCCACGGGCCAGATCCAGCATCTGTACCTGTCTCATGTGGTCCATGAGGCTAGTAAAAGGGCCAGGAATTTGGGGGTAGGGCAGGCAGGGGTGGGGCCTGCCACCAAAATCTTTTTGTGATGTGTGTTGAAACAGAGGTATGTGATAGCTTGCCCTGCCACCCTCCATCCCTCCATGTCCAAATCTAGCCTGCAGGAAGCTCCACAATCCAGATTCATCTCAGAGGGTGGAGTGAGTTTGGCATCCTGGTCTAAAAGACATGTACACTAGTAATATGCAATATAAACTTTCAGGAAACAGTGCCTTCTCTGATGAAGCACTTGAAGTAGGAAGAAGTAAGGTTGTCTTGGAGAATCTCTCCATTAATATGAAGGAAATGAACTGCAAAATAGGCCTTAAAGGCTAAGTACAGACAGTCAAAAAGCCTGAAATTGAATTGATTCAGTCTTTGCAGCTTAGTCTATGCTGTAGAGATTAAACTGAGAAACAACTGGACAGACTTTCTCTTTTGATTCAGGAAACGCAGCCACATACCTGCAGTGGTTCAGGCCAGAAGCAGGGGTGGGGGAGGAGTGGAGCACAGCACTCTGGCACATAGCCAGCCTGGGCTGTGTGTTCACTTTGTCTTTCTTCTGCCCCTGAGCTCTGGGATTTGCAGTCCAGAATTATAGCAGCAGGACTCTGTGGGATTGCTCATCACTTCCTGTTCCTGCTTCCAGGTGCCTCTGGGATTTGTAGTCCACAGTCACAGCCAGCAGTAAGTTTTTAGCAGAGCAGCTTTGTACTCAGGAGAAGGGAAGTTTAACCTTCTCTCCCTGGCCCCAGACCCCAGCTGGGGTTTGCCTGGTGGGGGGATAGGCCCTGCCTCACCCCCATCCCAACTCTTCTCTCCTTTAGCAGACAGCACAGCACAGCCCAGCCCGGTGCTGAAAAGCAAGCTGGGCTGCTAGGGGACTGTGATTTAACTTGAAGCAGGAAGGGGTCTGGGACAGAATTTTCATAAACCACTTTGACCCAAATCAGTTAAGTCTGATACTACATTCAACCAGGTTTATCTTACACCAGTTTCAGTCATTTTGAAACTGGTGTATGTGCACTGAACTTCTGTTCTGTTACAGGTTTAAACCAGTTTCTGGTCACTTAAACTGGTTTGTGTGTAACTTCTGTCCCTAGGCAAAAATGTTTCCATTTCAGTCCATACAAATAGGCTGTTATGGTAAGATAGGTTCCTCACACTTTTAACGTGTGTGGAATTCCCTGAGTTTGTTTTGAAAGTTAGTGTAGCATTGCAGAAATGCTAAATGACAGATATTTTTAAAATATTCTAATGAATGCTCTTTTCTATCCTTTCCAATTTGATAAGGAAGATCAAATAAGGAAGATCAGATATCATCATTGACGCATCTATTTCTGTTCTCAGATTCTGCCTTGAGTTCTAGTTAGAACATTTCCAGGAACACTTAATGCTCTCTCACAAATAGATTTAGGCTTCTATATGTATAGGTGACCTAGTTGTTTTATTAATGGCATAGTTATTGAAACACTAGGATTTACTTGCAGTCTTTTTTTCAAGGAGCCCTTGGAATCTTTAAAGACATAACATTCCTCTTTTGTATAAAGCCCAAGTGTGGATTCCAAACTTTTTGAGATATACAGGTTCATAGATCATTTGTTTTATGTCCCGTCTAGATATCAGAGTAAAAATAAGCACTCGTTTATCCCTATAGAAAGAGCATGGCTTTTGGTTCCTGTAAGATTTACTCACATCTACTATCCATTTTGAGATTAGCTTTAAATTGAGATGTATAAAAATGTGAAGATATCTTGAATATTCACCACACTTTTCTTTGGTTCTGTAATGCAATAATCCAAGAACTTTGGATAAAAAAGAGAGGCAGCAAATTAAAAGCAGCAAAATGGAAATATGTATTTGTGCAACATACAACATACAATAAATGTGAATAAGTTGCCTCAGAAAGTCTCTTAAACAAATTTAGCATTTTTAATGGATAGGACACCAAAACCTGCGTTAACTCTGAACTGTGGAGCTTAAACTTACTCCAGGGGCAACTAATAATGATAATACCATGACTGATTTAAATTAATATCTGCTGTCTTCTGTCCTGCAAAATACCAATTTACTTATAAATTTTATTAATTGAGAGCTAGGTTGCGGACCTTAAAGCCACAAGCCCCTCATACAGGGATATTCAGAATGCCGCTAGGTCAGCGATACAGAGAAGCCATTCCTCCCAGTGTCTACTTGCCTTTACCCTCACCACTGGTTTAGGTCTATCTGCTGATGTGGGAGGGAATTCACTCTTTTCAAGCGGTAGGGTATTTCTGAGCCCTATCCTCCAGGAATTGTACTCAAAAAGCATAGGTTTTGAGATTCTGGCCATCCCATCTCCTGAGTACAAGAGACTTATAAAGATTTTATGTGTCTCTCCCAAACCTTTCACCTCCATGGAATGATAGGCAAAATCTGTCTCTGTATGTAGGAATAATTTTACCCAAAACAGTTGCAGCTCCAACAGAAATGTGGGAAATTAAGTGCACAACAAAAAAAACTATCCAAGATTTGAAAAAAGGAAAAAAGATACTTTATCCAGTGGAAAGCAGGAAGGGAATTTGAGGTGTGTGCAATTAGTGTGTGACATGGGGTAGGTCTTCTATACTTCTGCAATGTGCTGTAGAATTTTAATAACCAAAAATGGTCAGGAATTCAGTTTTACATCCCATTAGAAAGAAAACAGTATGTGTAGTATAGATACAGTACTTGGGCACCACAGTGATAACTATAGTATAATAGCCACAGTTGTTCTTAACAGAACAGTGACACATGGCACAGTGGTTGGGCACTGGTTCAGAACTTGTTCAGAATGAAGATCATTGTCTTCTTATCCAAGGACTGACCACAGCTGGCCTTACTTAGCTGTGTGATCTGTGATCACAGCCAGAGGCTGTATGATTGCAAATAATGTCCGTTCACTGCAGTCCTGCTATTGTTCAGGTTTTTGTTCCATAGAAAACAAATTTTGCAGTTGTAATGTGGAACATGTAAACCAAGTTACAGCTACAATAATATCAAACTACCATAATCCTTATCTTAAATCCAACAATCACACATAAAATTGGATGCCTTATGAACTACTGGATTTCACATAATGTTCTCACAGTTGGTTTGTCAACAGTCTGGTCTCCTTTTCATCAGAGCTGGATGCTGACTTTCCCATGTTCTCTCCTTTTTTTAAGTTTTGCCTGGCAAATTCTCCGTGTTTGTATTTCTTTCTTTTGTACCTGACCCGAGCTTTTGAAGAAGGAACAAACCTTTCCATGTTCTCAGCAAGAAAAAGCCTGGTTTCCCAGTGAAACATGCCTAGCTTATAAAAGATATTGTTTCCTAACTGCTGACCTTGCAAAATACTCCCTGAGGACCTGAAAGTCAGCCTGAGGCTGATTTTGGTGGGATTGGGGAGTCCCATTCTGGTGAATCATTAGCAGCAATAAAGATTCTGCGGGACAGATTATTCCTTCAGTGACACCTATGCCACCCTGTTATCTTCAAATGACACTGTCAGCTTATATGAGTAGCTCAGGGCTGTCCAACTTCTGGAGACCCAGGGGCCACATGCTATGTGGGCAGGAGACCAGAGGGGTCAAGGTCCCCGTCCCCTCCTCAGAACTCTTTCCTGTGTTGCACAGGCAATCCAGCTCCCCACCCCTTTTCTGCCACACATACTGTCTCACCCCACTCCTGGCTGGGCACACAATAGTGTTAATTCATCTCGTCTGCCCCCATATGCACAGTCTGGGCAGTCTGGCTTCCTCCCTTGCCATGTGAACAGCCCAGTGCCTTCCCTCATTGCATGGGCAACCCAGTCCCCTTCCACTGTGCCACCCAGCCCCCAGTAGTGGGATAGAAATTGGAAGACAGAGGAGGGAGGGGGAGCCTGGTGACCTCAGCTAAGAACAAACATTACACAGAAACTGGAGAATGGCTGACACCGGTTTGAGATAAACCTGGTTGAATGTAGTATCAGACTTAACTGATTTAGCTCAAACCAGTTTACACAATGTCTGTCCCAGACCCCTTGCTGGTTTAAGATAAACCAAACACCCCCAGCATCCTGGCATGCTCTCTAGGCTGGGCAGGGCTCTCTGCTCCACAGCAGGGCTGGCCCCTCCACTCTGCTCCCTGGCTGCAGCACAGGCAAAGACTGCAGGCCGCTCACCCCCTCCCCCTCACCACTCCCTGCTAAGCAGGAATTCCCCCCTCCCCTCTGCCTTGCTGAGGAGGTGTTTGTGCATTGGCTTGCAGACCACATGCTGGCTACAGTCCAGGCAGAATCAACAGGTAGTTGGTAATGTCCCTTTGTTATTTTCTGAATGGGGTGATAAACACTGATTAGAGGTGATAAACACTGTTATCAGTTCCTGGGCTAATCAGAGCATCCTGCTGGAGCCTAGCCATGCCCCACCCCCTATCAGCTCAGTTCTGTGGAAGGAAGGGAGGGCTGCTGTAGCCCTCCCTGGCTTCTAGCCTGAGCCACTGCAGGCATGTGCCTGCATTTCTGTGATGTCTGTCTGGTTACCAAACTGATTTAGCCTAGCCAGGTTAGACTAACCTGCAAAGATTCAATCAATTCAGGCTCAGGCTTTTTGAATGTCTGTCTCTAGCCCTCAGCAGCTGCCACAGCAGGAGCAGTAGGGGAGTGGTGGCCAGGCAGGAGCTTGTGGACAGCCCTGCCGTTTAGACAGCCCTGGTGTAGCTGATCAGTCCTGTAATTAAAAGTTAGTAAACAGTTCTTAAACTCTCTTCCACAGATCTAGCAAGGGTTGTGGTTGTATGCCAAATAAAACAATATCTTTTTCAGGGGAAAAAAATTAAAATCAATCAAAGTGTCATAAAATGAAGTACCAAACTGATACCCTATCCTATTCGCTTCATAAGAATGTTTAATCTCTAAGCACACTTGGTTCCCAAATGAAAGCTTTTGTATCTGTAAGCAAAATGCAATGCAGCAGCATCTGAATTCATTGCCTTCTCTCCCCTGATTTAACATCTGCATTTTCATAGTGATTCAGGAAACTGTCTTGCTGCCAGAGATTTGGGTATAAAACAGGATCTTCCATTTTAAGTGGTAGAAAACTAAGGTGTCCTAGATTCTGTTCAAACACAATATCATGTTCATATTTGTAAAAGCATGAATATGTGATCTCCCTTTGTCATAGCTGGTAGATCGTGGATTAATTATAGGAACATACAGCAAAGCACAGTGATACTCTTCTCAAAAAGGCTACGACTATGAATACTCATAGTTTTGCTTTTTGGGTGCCATTCTGGAGAGCTTCAGGGGGGACATGATTTTCTCAGTGGTCTGAAATCAGAGTTTGAAAGTCATTCGTTACTTTTGTAACATTTAAACTTGATTTCCCTTGTTCCATCCTACTTAATGTCCACTGAGATGTACTACCCACTTAAATTGCATTCACCAGTCCTTAGAAGTAACGTATGATAAATTAATTTTCTCTTCTGTTTATGAGATTCTGCTCTATTAACAGTGGTGAAATAAGTAAGACTCTGGATTTAATCTTGTTTTTATTTTGAAATAAATTGTTTCTTCCTGTGAATAGTGTAAGAGGAGTTAAAAGATCATATCCAGAAAGTGTTAATAGTATTGAATGAAATTGTAACAGATGAATATCAGTAATTTCAGTGGCATCTTACCTACTTCTAATTAGTTCTTAATCTTTTTCTCTAGATTTTGTTCTTAACTGGCTTTGGTTATGTTTATGTGGACATTACTCATCACTGTGGAACAATAATAATAACTTTGGCACCAGAAGGAAAAGCAGGACCTGTCCAGATCAGCTTGAACAGGTATATAAAGCACATGGAAGATCATAAAGAGCATTGATAAATTGTTTTTTTTAAATCATCTTAAGAAATCTTAAGCCTTCTGTGCGTGAAGCGAGTTATGAAATCTGGCAAAACTGTTTGTTTTGTCTAATGCCACTGCATACTCTGTGGCATATGTTTAGACCACATATTATGTTTTGTATATCTCAGTAAAACATGACAATCTAGCATCTGAGGTCATGTCACATTAGGATAAACACTAGATGTCTGGTATAATAAACAGTTCTGAGCTGTTCATTTTAAAGAATTAAAAATAGTTTCCATTCTAATTAATTTTGAGTGTATTCAGAAGATTAAAGGTTATTTGTCCGAATCCTGCAGTCCTTAGCCATGCACAATTCATATGTAAGGATTTCAGGAACAGTGCTGCAAGCATTAGTTAAAGAAGCACTCTTGTCTTTGTACCACTCTTTCTTAGACTCTCTCTCACTGGTATAACCTTACTAAGACTTGGCACTCATCTCCATTCAAGTGTGTTTATAACATCACCTCTTTATAACATTTGAAATGCTTTGCTTCCAGTGGTGGTGGTATGATGAGAGTGGAATGTGAATTCGCAGTTTTTATTTGAGTTTTAATTAAGTATTAATCCCTGAGAAATTGCTCATCAGCAGAACCTCATATCCCATTTGCTAGTTAAGCTTGGCCAAGAGCAGTTAACACTGAGAGAAAAATAAAACAACCCCCAAAAACAACCTCACAACCAAATCAGCCATGGTAATTTAGTGGGAAGGCATTTTGCTTCCATAATGTGAAATTAATTATCCATAAATAGGAACACCCAGTGTTGGCTCCAACAAAGAGCAAAGGTAAAGCAGCTGAAGCTGCATTAAAATTTTCAGGAAATTGCATTTGATTTTATTTTTTGGTACATTTTAAAAGTAGTAGAGAATAACTATGCATAAAACATAGGGAAATTCAAATCCTATATGTAAGGTGGAAAGAGAGAGAAAGACAGACCTGACTTACACTCATGATATTCTTTTTCAGATGGCCTTTTGGGTATAAATACACATTTGCATGGTTTAGACTCCTCAGTCCCTTTAACATTAATAAAACCTGTATGATGAATTCCCTGTCTCTCTCAGTAAAAATGTGCTTCGTGACAGCTCTTAGGAAAACCAAGAAGCCCAGTAAAATCAAAATAAGTAATATGACAAACATATTTTATTTTCTTCCTCTCTAGAATGCAGGAGCAGACCATCACATTTAAAATATTCATCAGCCAGTCAAGCCTTGCAGTGTTGGATGATATCACAAATCATAAAACTTCATGTGAAATTCTGAGACTCACAGTGGACCACATTTTCCTTAACATGGCACCAGTAGCCAGTTACCTGAGACCCCTGTCTCATGAATTTTCAAGGGACGCCATTGAGGGCCTTCCCCAATTTTATAGTCTCCAGATATATTGTGGAGACTTGCAACTGGACAATCAGCTGTATAACAGATCCAATTTCCACTTTGCTGTCCTGCTGTGCCAGGGAGAGAAAAATGAAACCATGCAGTGGTCCAAAGTGAACAACCTCAACATGTCCAACAAAGATTTGGAAGAGTATAAGGAAAATTGCTTCATAAAACTTTACATTGCTTTGTCAGAAGAGCAGAATTTCTTGTTTCACGTTAACGACCTCAGTTTCGAATTGAAACCAGCAAGGCTATATGTGGAAGACACATTTGTTTATTACATTAAGACTTTATTTGATACATATCTTCCAGGCAGCAAAGTGGTTTATCGTTCAATGAAAATTTCAAATATTACCCCGATACTGCCTGAGCAAGTGAGGCAGCATGCAAAAGCTTTAGTCAATCCAGTTAAGTTAAGGAAATTAACAATACAACCCGTTAACCTTTTGGTCAGTATCCATGCTTCGTTAAAATTGTATATAGCCTCAGATCATACCCCTCTCTCCTTCTCTGTGTTTGAACGAGGACCTATCTTCACCACTGCCAGACAGCTCATCCATGCGTTGGCCATGCACTATGCTGCTGGGGCACTATTCAGAGCAGGTCAGTGTTTTTAAAACATAATATATGTGGTATTACTTTCCAATAATTCTCTCTCAAGCTAGTTATTCCATCACAGTACCATTATTTTTGCCTTGGACAGTGTTCTCAAACGTTATCGTATTCTGAGAAGTCCCTTATATTCTATAGTATAACCGGAGTCAAATAAAGTGGTCAAATTGCCATAAGTTTAAAGTTGTGATAAACATTAGTTGGCCACCCGAAGAATTCTCTAAAGTTCAGTAAAGACCATAATAATATATTCTGTCTGGTTTGTTTTTTTGTTGTCTCAGAGTATAATGCTAGTCAGAATCAAAACATGAATTCCTATCATGAGCTCCGAAAAAATGATTTAATCAAATTATTCAATACGTTGCTATGCATTCAAGGAAAATTATACCACTCAATGTTGTTTTGTTGTTAAACCTCCTTTTGGCTGAAGTTAATGATTAGGAATCTGTCTTTCTTCATGGAGCCTTCATGCTAAACTGGCATGCAGATGTTTATTGTCCTTTGATGCAAAAGTATGTAGTTTTCTTTTGTTGACTTTTTCCCATACAGGATCAATAGTGAGCAATTAGTCTATTAGATTAATGGGTACAATCTTAAAATTTTGTCTCCCATAAATATAAATTTATAAATAAAACAACTCCAATCTCTGGTATACCTTAATGGGCACAGGGATTTATAAATGACAGGGAAGAAAGGGCTTTGCTGTGATCAAAGTAAATGCAGTAGTTACTGTAACATCATACTTATTTTCATAAATGACTAGTGCTGGATTTTCCAAAATCTGGATTTTTTCATTTTTGCTATGTGCACAATACATTTAAGTCTCCCATGCACAATGATCATAATTGTGCCTACATATTACATATTTATACATTCATGTGACCAGTTGGATGCCTTCTGGTCTTTCCCATGTGTATATACCTGATTTGCATAGCTGATCACAGTTACTGTGTGCAGAATTACATGTGATGTTGGTGTGCACAAATTAGATCATTATTTCATATGCAATTACAAACATTTTTTTCAAAACCAGGCCCATATAATACTACAGGGAAGATTTAATTTCTCACTCATTGAGATAAAAATGTTGGCTTTGTTTAGGTGTTGACATGAGTGATAACTAAGGTGCCCACTTGCCCCCATGCAATAACTATACCTATCACAGGTAGCAGGAGGGGTGGGGAAGCAGGCTCTGAAGAGCTGTTGTGTCCACCTCCTGATGTCAGTGGAGTGGGGTTTAGGCTGGAGAAGGGAATGGGCACAATACTGGCTTTACCTTTCAACATGCTAGTTAGGGTAGCAATTCCAGTTATAGATCCAGAATAGCAGATTTACCCTCTTTACTGCTGCTGAAGCAGCATTATGATGCATTGGCTGCCACTTGTGACAAAGCTATAGTTGAGCTGCAAGTAATTAAGATATAAGACCCTGCTTTAGAAAGGCATTGCTATTCAGGAAAGTACATACACACATGTTTAGTTGTTAGCATGTGCTTAAGTTTCACTGGTATTAATGGAACAAATAGTGGTTTCTTGGGCAAATACAGAAACTTTTGTACTTCAAAATGCTTGTGGTTTTGGGGGTCTGAGAGTGTCATCAAATCTAGATGGGAAGAAAGTGTCATGAACAAGGCTTCATCATGTGAGAGAGAAAATCCAGTCAGGGTTTGTGTCTGGGTTACATGTCTGGTGTTGGGTGAAGAAAAGGACTGTAGGAATGGAGCCATTCCCCAGATGTTATTATGTCTATCTCCTGCAGCAGGGAAGGTCATTTGATGCCATTTGCTCACATCTGCACCACTCTCTTTATTACTTCCCTGAGATGATGCAAAGAAAGTCCACATAGATATGAGTCCAATGGCATTCAAGCAACATGTCTCACCTATATGGTATATGCTCCCCTACAACAGGCAAGACCCTCTGCTTCTGAGAGAGAGCAAGATTTTCCTCAAAGCCTACTGGCTGGAATGACCATCTTTTGGATTTGTAACCAGCTGGCCCCCATCCACCGAAGAGTTGGCTGGACTCCATTTTTGGGAGGAAATAACAATTGTGGTGACCTTGCCTGTACATGTAAAGGAAGCTATTAAATACGTTAATCCTGTTTGTCACATTAAATTAGCAAAAGATCACCCTGGAAATTCCCCACCCTTTTCTAATTAATCTGCATTATATATAATAACACTTTTGAATTTTATTAGCCCAAATGAATCACAGCAAGTTGCCTATTAAGAAAACAGGTTGGATCTGCATTAACACACTAATAACAATTATTTTCTTTTGGCGAATATAAATGTTAAGTGCACTGTGATGTATGCTGAAATTACGCTAATGCAGCATAAGATTACTGCAAAGTAAAATTTAATGCAGGGTGTATTCTTTTGAAGGACTTTTCTTGAGTCACTATAGTCCCCATTTCCCCCTTCCCAGCTGCCTCCCACATTTACTCTTCATTACTCTGACCCAGTCTTCAGCTAAGATTACCGAAGACTGTTGGCTTCACTCTCGGCATTGGCCTGAAAAGGCTGTGCCTAATGCATAGTACCTCCATTCATCCTGCATATGCAGCCTGAAGGAGACAGTGACACCTCCACATCCAACCAAGACTTTCAGCTCATGATCCAAAGCCAGGCTATACTGCACAGAACACCAGGCACTTCAGAACTTTATATTTACCCAGTTTCAACCAGTACCTTGATTAAGATGGGGGTGACCAGGGCACTAGCCCTACTAGCCCCCTGAACTTAGGGAAGCACAAAAATAGCAGCCCCTGTGCTACCCCACATACCGCTATCACTCAGGAAACAGACCTGCTCAGCTATGCCTCAGGTTCGACCCTGCCTATCCACAAAAATTGAAAAAAAAATATTTGACCTATTTGGATGAACAGCGTTCAGGTGGGCTCAGTACCTCTGACTGGCATGATCTTGGGCTAGGACAGAAATTACACATCAACCAGTATAAGTGATCAGAAACCAGTTTAAACCTATAACACAACAGAAGTTCAGTGCACGTAAACTGCTTTCAAAATGACCAAAACCAGTTTAAGATAAACCTGAATAGATGTAGTATCAGACTTAACTGATTTAGGTTAAAAAATTGGTTTATTGACTTCTGTCCCAGATCCCCTTCAGTTTCAAGTTAATTCACAGTCCCCCAGCCTCCCAGGATGCTTTGTGGCTCCCCCACAAGTCCCCCCTTGCAGTGTAGGCAGGTTAGCCTTGGCCCAAGCTGTCTGCTCCAGCTGAGCAGGGAGGCATGCTCTAGCACCCCACTTCCCCCCCAGCTTCTGGCCTCAGCCACTGCAAGCCTGTGGCTGGTTTTCTGAAATCAAAAGTAAATGTCTGTTCACTTGCTTATTAGTTCAATCTATGCAGCTTAGACTAACCTGTGAAGATTGAATCAATTCAGCCTCAGGCTTTTTGACTGTCTGTACTTAGCCCAAGGGTGTGGATACATGAACACTTGGAGCCCTTTCAAAAGGGGAATGTTTCAAAAGGGCAGCAGTTGGTATATACAGTTCAAATGCAGAAAACCCACTCCAACTGTAATACTCCTTCATCCAGGAGCATTAAAGCTGAAGTGGTTTTGTTATGGTTGGAGTGGTTTTACTATGTTTGAACTATTCTCAATTCTTTCTCACATACCAATTAGAATTACCAGCTGCTGCTTTTAAAATATTCCCCTTTTAAAAGGGCACCAGGCATTTGTGTGTCCACACCTGAGGTGTTACGTTCCCTGGTGAGTGTTCAGACCAGCACTAATGATTTCTGGGGCATCTGCAGCCATCCTTCCTTAGCTGAAGAAGCCATTCTTGTCACCACAGAATGCTTGTGGGAGAACTCCTCAAGGAACCCTTTTCTTAAAATTATTTAAAAAGCCATGACAGTATGGGAGATGTAAATGATCACAGCAACATTACTGAGCAGAAGAAACAACGAGCAGACACATTCCATCCAAACTTGCTGCCCGCCCCACTCCAGCTCCTCAGCACTTTGCACAGTGGCAAATACATTTTTGTGCAAATATCACACTGAGGAAAGGTTAGCAGGCCCCGGCTGAAGCAGTGCTCCCTCTCAGCTCGCAGCAAGAAAGGGCTGCCAATGGGATGCACCTCTCTGGGGAAGCGACTGCGGGACTTTGGCCAAGATTCTCAGGCTCTTGCTGCAGCTCTTAGAGTTGTCAACTATGTTTGGTTTTTGTTCCCTTATCCCATCCCGCCCTCTCCCTCATGCCCACCATGGTTCCTCAACTCACCAAGGCTGACATGTGATCCTACAAGAAGAGTCCTTTTTCCAGGAGTTTAATGGTAGCGCAAGGTTAATGGCTTTCACATGAGTAATGTTTTCTCTCTATTCAGTTTCATAATTCAGCCTTGTTCAGGAGTGGCTGGGAGGGAGGCTTACTAGAAAAGCATCTGGATAACAGGAGCCCATAGTGATGGGGTGGGAAGGAGGAGGGCAAAACAGTTTCAGGGGTCTCAGTAGGAGGACAAAAAGCAATCAAGTCCATCTTTTAGGACTTTCTCCCTGTTGTGTATCGTATAACCCTGGCAACACCGGCTGAAGTCTGTAATGCTAAGGCTGAGGGAGCAGGCAGTTACAGTGAATCTTTACTGCTGTTTCTGAATCAGTCTTTCTGGACTGCTGGAAACAACAGTTATGGCAGTACTGTCTCTTTAATAGCCTTATGTCGATCCACCAGCTTGAGAATGAAAAGACTTGCAAAGCAACTTTTTCAGTACAACTCGCAACAGAGCTCCATGCATTTGGCCATCAGGCTGGCCTCTGGCAACCCCGCACTTACATAGGAAACCAGATCCACAGACACCTCTCCTGGGATGTTCATAAGGAATACTCCCCTATGAGTAACCTAATCAGCATGTAGATGTCATTGCTGTTTACACAACTATACTGAGAAAAAGACATTTGTCTGGCTTTAACTAGCCTCTAAAAGAAAGTGATCAAGTAAGAAAGGTTCGGGTGGATTAAAAATAACTCCGTAAGCACTTGTCAGAATTCTGCATCCCCTTTTCTAACACCCCATCAAACAAGTGACCTCCATGCTCCCATGAGGCAGTACATTGTATCACTGTAAACTGGCTGTCACTATTCTGTCACATAAGGATGTGAAATCACAAAGTTGCCCTGTAGCATGTAAAACCTACTAGCAAGTGAAGCCTCCAGCCCCGTTACTCCTAGCTGTTAGAATCTAGCATCCATCTCTCCACACACACTCTCTTAGCAGAAATACGGGAGGCTCGTGGAAGGAAGTCATTCTAAAGCTATTTGTGAGTTTGCCAAAGGGATTTCTTTGATTTACAAAGTATGAAAGATTGCCATTTCTGAATTCATAGCGGATGAGTTGTTTCCCGTGCTTTGCTCAAAGGAAGTTCAGAATGTGATGCATTCTAGTGTAAAAAAAGGAATTAAGGAATAGCTTTTTCACAACTGCTGCTTCTGCAGCTTTTAGGAATGTAACACTTGTCCTCTTTCTCCACATAGGCTGGGTTGTCGGATCTTTGGAAATCCTGGGAAGTCCAGCTAGCTTGGTGAGAAGCATAGGGAATGGCATAGCTGACTTCTTCAGGCTTCCCTATGAAGGCCTGACCCGAGGCCCTGGAGCGTTTGTGAGTGGAGTTTCAAGAGGAACAACGTCATTTGTAAAACACATTTCCAAAGGTAGATCTTTCACTTCATTGCTCTTAATGCTCTTGTTGTTATGCATTGTTAAAAGATGTATTAAAGTTTTAAATGAAATTGCCTGCTCCTTCGTTTGGCTTGTTAGGTTGCAGTGAAATGCTGGGAGGTTAACAACGTGCGTATATAATGTCTTATGTATTAAACAGATCACTTCTTGACTGCAGTGTGCTTGAGTGTTTCAGTAACTTCAGAATTGTAAACCTCCCATTGGGAAACCAAGGTTGGCTTGGCTATTATAGCATGTGATAACTACAGAGATATTAAAGGTGTTCAAAACTTCTGCTAAGCATCAGAAATCCTACACTATGTTGCCTCATCATATTTATTATTAAAAAAAAAGTAGATACAGTTGTCATAACTTTGTAAGTATGTGGAGACGTTTTGACATGAAGGCATAATTTGGATTTAAAGCGCATCTAGGTTTTTTTTGCAAGGATACAGAAACAGTGCCATCTTGTGGCTTCCCAAGGCCAGCAACAGAAAATGCAATATTTGGAGCTGCAGTGGCTGTTTGCTAGCTGGCTGAAGTAGTCCTGGTTGGCTTATTGCGTAAATATTGGTTTAATTTTCTATCTGTCCCCATTCAGTTGATGGCAGGTTCCTAATAGCTTGTGAACGAGTGATGGAACTTTAGGAGAGTTTCCTCGTCACCAGTCAAGCAGACCTGGTGAGGGACAATGTGACGATACATGTCTCACAGAAACACACTGCTTATCAGTAATAAGAAATGTGTTGCATGGGGCAAGTTTTCCTTTGAATCATTGTTCTGCTTGTAAGCACAGTGCTTCAGTGAGTTGTAGCACAACTTGTGTTCTAATTTCAAACACTTCAGAGCAGACTCAAACATATAATGATGTTTGTTTAGGTACACTGACATCAATTACCAATCTGGCAACAAGTCTTGCACGGAATATGGATCGGCTGTCCCTGGATGAGGAGCATTACAACCGACAAGAAGAATGGAGAAGGCAGCTTCCAGAGAATCTGGGAGAAGGACTGAGGCAGGGGTTGTCCCGGTTAGGCATCAGCCTTCTAGGTAATGTACTGTTAAATATGATAACACTGTGTTATGATCTACTCATCATACTTTTGTACAGCTGCCTGCAGAGTCCAGATGCAAAAGCCAACATTTTTTAATTGGTCATGAAAATAATGTATGCAAAATACTGTTTCTCTTCATCCAGGATTATGACAAATTGAAAATGTTCTTTCACGTTAATAATTGCGGAAATGGAATATTATGTTTTTAGTCATCTGTAGGAAAGTTTTTCATTGGTAGGTTCAAAAGAAAAAAATAATTGTGTGTTGGCCTTACTGATTTGTAACCAAGTCAGCACAAAAACATCATCATTCTGATGTTTACTTGCCAATGAATTATAGGAAAACCTCCTGAAGCTGATTGTTTCTGCTGCACCATAGATCTCAGAGATGCTTGTTTTTGTTTGAAAACCACTTGAGCATAGTGCAAATGTCAAGTAAACTTTGATGAGGAATTCTACTTTAGTAAAAAGAACCAGATCAGCCTGACTCAGTGTAATTGTATTAGTCAAGCAGCCAAATGGTTTGCTTAGAGGTGAACATCAGTATTTATTTTTCAAAATATTACATACAAGTTTCAAAACTAAACCACTTCGGAAGAACTCTTAAAGGAAATTTTCTAGTTTAAAGTGCTTAGGAATGGCATTTTCTAAGATGCTTCTATTTGTCACACTAGAAAAGGAATGCCAAATTGTATTGTTTGGCAAGATGCCTCAGTACATATTAAAGCATATGAATCCCTTAGAGATCAAAGTGACCAAAAACATTCCAGAGCAAAAGGTTAGAAGAGATGAGCTTGAAAGGATTTGTCCTGTTTCCTAATCTTCAGTACTATACACAACTTCTAAATTTGCAACCGCAACCCTGAAAGCCCTGAAGAGGAAGTGGTAAAATGTTACAAGTTCAGGTTAAGTTACGGGAAATTATTTTAAGCAATAATGTTAGATGTTGTGAAGCACTGTCATTTGATAATGCCCGTAAACTGACAAGCTAATATACTGGGAAAAAATGTGTATAAAGGAACATTTTCATATATTAGATGCCCTATAGTAAACTGTTACTGATATTGCAAATCACAAGCAGTTTAAAGGAGGTTTCTATCTATTTTATTGGTCTGGGAGCAGCCAGGTTGAGTAGCCAAAAGAAAGATTTCACTTTTAGAAGCATTATGTCAGTCCAAAGTGTGAGTGCTGGTGAAATGGCTTGGTGGTCTTAGCTCGGGTGCTTATAAGATTAACACACTGGGTGCATCTACATATGCACTTTACTGCCAAGTAGACTAATTAGCTCCACAGTAAAGTGTCACTGTCTACACATGCTCTGATATTAGGGCGCAGTAAACTGATTAACTCCACTGTAACATAGTACTGTTGGGGACAGTACTGTCTTATGGCGAAGTAATTAACTGTGCTGAAACACATGTGTAGTCACTGACCAGGGATGTAAATTGTGACCGGTGATCCCAGCCAGACGGGGCCTGCTCCACCACAGCTCAAATTACCGCTCTCCTAGGTGCACGTGTAGATGTTGCGCCCAGGAGCAGTTTACTCTAGCTCAAACTGCTCTGGAGTTTATTGCTTCACATTAATTGAATGTGTAGATGTACCCACAGGGACTGAACCAAGGTACTTTGGACTAAAAGGATGAGCTTCTGTAGCTTGAGTTAAAGAGCTGCAGCTAGGAGCTGTAATAATTCATTCTTGGTGAGCTGGGAGGGGGACCTGTAACACGCGCTTACAAGTACGTTATACCAACTTGATACATACCCTGCACTCAAAGAAGTCCAGTATCTCCTTGAAAGACAGCAGTGATTATGTGGATGTTCATGGGTTTGTGCAAAATAACAGGAAAGAGAGTGCTCAAGGCATATTAATTCCTAAACATAATGTTGGATCTTACTGTTAGTCTAAAACAAAACGTGTTCATGTGCCAAATCACTTTGTTTTTAACTGCTGCTGTCCCTGAAAGCATCAAAGAAGATAAATAGTTTACGTGTTTGCATAGATTGCAGTTGCCGTGTTGTGTTGTTTTAAAATTTCAGCAGACCCAGGACTGAGGAATTTGTTCTCTCTGCCTCTGGTTCTGTTTGCAAATTCTTCTTTGCTAAAGTAACCTGCTATTCTTAGCAATAGAAATAATTAACCACCTAAAATAAATACCAAAAGTTATTGTGTAACTGGGGTCATCAAGTATGGAGCCCTGTCATCATAATTCATAAGCAGCAGACATGCTTTATTGCAATTTGTATCAGGCACAATATAATTTGTTATTTAGCCTTAGTAGGATCAGAAAACATGGGTTCTTTCATTCTGTGTGCAAACACAGTATTCATGTGTCTATAGGCATAAAGTTTTCTCCACTTACAGGTATTAAGACCTACCAGAGCATTTGTATGTGGAGCGAAGTTCTATAGCACTGCTTTGTTTACCCGAATGTTTTAAGATGCATGAAAAAATACCTTTCTTGTGAAGTGGAGTGATGGCACTGCATTCTTTCTCCTCCCAAGCAGGAAAAATGCAGAATGAATCGAAGAGCAAAGATTACAAGACCCATTTAGCCATCATTTCTTTGGCCATATAGTTGTAGAAATGAGAAGCATAAGACAGACAAACAGGTTCAAACAGTCAAAGCAACATCATGTATGTGAAAGTCTCCTCAAGGCACTGGGGCGCATGCAGACAACCATTTCTAGCCATCTTGCATGCATGGATTCACATGTGTGTTGCAGTTGCTGTGTAGGAAAGATGTTGCATGTCTAACTTGAAAATCTGGCTCCTGATGGCCCCAATTCAGCAAAGCTCTTAAGCATGTGCTTAAGAGCTTTGCTGAATCAGGGCCAAAATCATGTACTCTGTCTCTTTTTCAGTGCAAGTTGTTCCCTGTGGTGCATTCTTGAGTGCTTTGTCCTGTCTAGTTTTAAACGACTCAAGTACTGTCAGGGTGTTGTTTGATTTGATCGTTATCTTTGGCTGGCTGTTTTCTTCTTTTCTCGTTTTGGGGAGACTGCAGGGGTTTTTGGTAAGGTTTTTTTTTTAATGTCAAAAGAGTTTAAAGCCTGCGAAAGCTGCTTTGCTTCTGCTGTGTATTTAAATAAAAAATATAATAAAACCATAAATTATAGCATTTAAATTAGGAGCTCCTGGGGCTGGCAGGGGGGTGGGAAGCAGATCATCTTTTGTATATTGCATGGTATTTACCATATGATCCAAATTTAAATAATAATGTAAAGAGGAGGAGAGAAATACTGGTACTATGGGATCAATTTTCAAATGCTGGCTCAAGTGAAAATACCATGTTGAATCAGCTTTTTTAATGAAATGGAGCATTTTTGAGTAATTGAACAGCTGTCAAATCTTAGAAAAAACATTGTTTTCAGAAAGACTAAAGGGCTGCAGACTCCAGTCAGACTATACATGCTACTAGCACGAAATCTTGATTGGTCAAATGGATTTTTGTAGGGCGGGTAGAACGTAGCATTGGCATTACAGTAACTGTGTTGTTAGACAGTGTAAATATTATCAAGTGGGATTTCCATTGTTGTTGTTGTTACTGTGCTAGCACCAAGAGGACCCCAAATCCTAATCCTAATCCCGTGTTTACACACAAGTGGTCTTGTTCATTTCAGCAGTTTAAGATTAACCTACACTGTTTGCCGTAAGTGGCCACATTCTGACCGCATTTTCAGAAACTAGAAGACTTGTGGTGACAGTCATATAACCGAGTTGTGTTTTTGGGTTTTTTTAATGTGTGATGGTATCACTATTGCCAGATTCTGGTTTAGCAGCAAAACAAGCATATTTCTCATAGTGGAGGATTTTTCCCAGTAATATATTAGTCCAAATAAGTTTATCACGAATTAACTACGGAAGACACGATGTTTACATTCTACACTCACTTGCCTTTGCTCTTCACTTCAAGTACAGCGCACACCTTCCACTGGGCATTGAGGGAGAGGGCGGCAAAGGGCAACAGGGAAGATACAGAAAAGGAAAGATACATGAGGAGCAGGAAGGACAAAGGAGTTCATGTCTACAGGGCCTGTAAAAAAAAAAAAAAAGAGCAGGAGGGGGTTGGAGCAAACATTTTAGTAAGTAGAGGAGAAAGAATGTCCTGAGCTCAGACTGCAGAAGGCTCTCTTCTGATCACATCACTGCTGTCCAGGAACTGTCATGGGGTTGGAAACACTAGCTGGGCCTCTTGCTTCCCTTTCCCCAGCTGCCTGAAGGTAAAAATGGAATATATCTGTTCTCCTGGACTGGCTTCATTTTGGGAGCAATCTTGTATGAGAAGGGATAGTCGCATGGAGTCAGGAGCCCCAAAAGCTGGTTTCCCTTGCACAGCTGTGGTTACTGAAGGGTATAACAATCCGTAGCTGGGTCTCACACCTGTATCATTATCCATTTTGCTACCACTGGCTTCTAGTTGGAAGGTAGTTTCCGATCCTGAGCTTGCTCTGCCATGGAAGCTTCTTTCCATCTTGAACCCTCATATGGATGGGAGCTACATGGGGTCTGCTGTCCTGCAAAGGGAAGTCTCCCCTGCATAGTTCAAGGGAAAGCAGAGCATCACCCAACCACAAGTACTAGAAGGTCAGTTAAACCTGTGTTTTGGTGCTGTTTGTTCTATGGATTGTGATAGTTCCCACCAAGTGCAAGACGTTTTGTAAATATTAGGTTAGTGGTTCCCAAATCAGGGCACCCCTTGGAAAATGCCAGCTCTAAGCTCTTTTTCATTTTCTGACTATGGAAAAATTAATAGTAATTCTGTTTAAAAAAATTTTCAGAAAGACCATACCAAATCAGAATGTTTTTGACTCATGGACTCCTCTTTGAAATCTCTAGGTTTATCTTGTAAATCATGTGTAGGTACCCACTTACCAGTGCTAATATTGTGCTGCACCTTTCAGAGGATCTCACAGCACCCCAGGTTGCCATGGCACTCCAGCTGAAAATTCACTGCATTAGACACTATCCTCAGGAGCTCACAGTTCAGGACAAGTGACTAAAAAAAGAGAGGCTAGAGATGAAGCAGGCAGTTCATCTACCTTGCCTAGTATTAGTGATTTCTTATAGGCATCCTGAGTGAACTGAGTTTTGAGGTGCAATTAGAAGAGGAGACAGACAAGTTCAAGGCATATGTAAGTGGTAGAGTGGAAGAAAGTGTGGAAGTAGTAAAGAATTGGCTAATTAAATAATATATTATTTTAGGCGCTATGTAAATAATTACAACACAGTCATAGCAGTTTCCATTCTGCTGCCTTGTCCTCTGGGCCCGAGTCCAGCAGAGTAGTGCCTGGAGCACATCACAGGTCCTTTGGAGTAGGCTCTTATTTATTATTACCTTATAACTTTGCTCAAGTGTATTGCAGTAAATAATTTACTAGTGCTAGGACTTAGGTGGATTACATTTATTAAGGCAATAACTTCTGTTCTGAGAGCACCATCATTGTGGGTGACCTCCACAGATAGGGTGAAAGAGGTTGCAGGGAAACATAATACTGTAACCTAATAAAGCACAAAGTATTGGTTTTTTTTTACTTCCAATGCATTAGTCCTACAAAAGGAAAGGCTGAATGAACAACCCCAATTGTGTAATGGGTGTTGGTTTATTATTTACTTAAGCAGCATGATCAGCTTTTAACTAATAGTGAAATGGAATTGAAATGTAAACCATTTTGGTTCCATAGCATATAATTAAGAAAGTTTTGTACCTGGCCTCATAGTACAATGGTCAGCAGTCTTTTAGTGGCAGGAGTCTGGAATGACCCAGCTCAGCTCAGAGGTAGGCTGGCACTAGGACCTGCCTGCTGCTACCACTGCTTCTCCCTGCTGCTTGGTTGCCACACAGGCAAAATTTCTCCCCACTGGGTGTGGTGTGACATGGGCAAAAACCCTTGCTACTGAATCCTGCCATCACCAGAATACTGCCCAGCAGTCCCCAGCTCCGCAAGTCGGATCCAGCCCATGGGCTGTATGTCACTGACTCCTGAAAACAAAGTGCAAGAATGTGACTGAAATGAAAGTCTGAGCAAGTGTTCAGAATAGCACACAGGTCTCACACAAATAGCGCATCCACTATTGTCTGTAGGAGGAAGCTTTCACATTACATGAATTAGTGACGGGTAGTATTGTAGGGGAAGAAGCAGAGGAAAAAATGTGAATGTTGTTTTCCCCCTCTCATTTTACATTTGGAGAAAGCACCCTTTGCAGTAGTGCAGCATTAATTTTGATTACTCAAAATCAGCAGTTCCTCCTTTAATCCAGAGACTGTTTCTTAAGGTAATTTTCAAACCAGTTAGTGGGTAAGTAAAGTACATCAGTCTGATAAACATATAGAGCCAACTGACCCCGGTGTTACTCCACTGAAATCAGTGGAATTATCAGGGGAATATGTGTCCCCACCTTCACACTTACAGTACTAGGTATAAAGGGGTAACTTCACTTTGTCCCTGTCCTAACAGATGCATGGGGCTACTAAGATGACTCTTTCCAGGGAATGTCCTAGCCCTTGATCTTTGCAGCAGGCATCACAAACTGAGAGCTGTTTGAGGAGCCTGCAAGCTTTCTGTGCATTAATAAGTAAAGCCCTTTAGATCAGGCAGCTCGTTGTCTAATTGATGTCACTTTGTCCAATCATTGTAGTTTTAGCAATTTCCCAATAGCTTATCTGTCAAATTACAATAACTAAAGACATGTCTGTGGTAAGTGGCTTGAGTAAACTCAAGATCAAAGAAACGTATCACCTCACATACCTGTTTACATTTAGGAAGATTTAAGTTGGAGCTCTCTGTTGATACTAAAAGCTGGAGAGGTCACTGTGTCGCTTGTAAAAGTTTGACCCATGCGCATTAAAGTAAAATATGATCGTTTTCACAAAAAAGTAACAAAAAGTCCCAAAGTCTAATTCTACTAATCTTAACAATATATCAAAAGTTGCATTAGCTTATGAACATTTCTGGCAGTGGAAGAGGATATAAAAATGATCTATTGAATTCAGGCAGTTTTTAGTCTCGTGAAGTCAGTCTCAGGCTTACAAGAAAATCTCATTTTCATAATAACTAAAGTCTTTTAAAACTAGCAGATACGTATTCCAGTCCCAGCATCTCCAGTATGCCAAGACAGAATGAACTAACTTATACCAAATCAGCTGAGGCATTTAGTAAAAAGTAGTTGAAAAATGAAAACATAGTATGCAGTTAAGTGATTTGAAATGTTTAAAGTATAGATACACAAAAAGGAAGTAGAGGCTTAACCTAAACTGAAGGGAAAGTATTGTTTAGACAATTGGTAAATGTATGCTAAATAGCTGTATAAAGGAGGGTGGAGTGCAATGTTTAATCCAAACAAAACTCTGCTCCAATGTTAAGATTTCCTCTTGTTCTGGGATTTTAATCTTCATTAATTGTTGGTGACTTGTTTTTTCAGGTGCAATTGCTGGTATTGTAGATCAGCCAATGCAGAATTTTCAGAAAATATCTGAGGCCCAAGCTTCAGCGGGGCACAAAGCCAAAGGTGTTATCTCTGGTGTAGGAAAAGGAATTATGGGAGTATTTACAAAACCAATTGGAGGAGCAGCTGAACTTGTCTCCCAGACTGGTTATGGTGAGTTTCTGCGATTCTAAGACCTTGGTATTAACTTTCACAAACAGATCTTAGAAATATTCTTTAAATGCAGTCTGCTCGATCTGTTTATACGAATCAGTAACTGTCTTGCTTGCAGAAAGATTTTAAAATGCTACAGATAAATTGTTATAAATATTGTCTTTCTCCCTCCAAAATCATCCCATCATGCTGCTTTCTTGTATTGGATTCAGTCCTGTATAGCACCAAGAACATAGAATGCAGTAACTATGAAGTAATTCTTGGAAACCAGGAGAATTAGTTACAGAAACATATGTGCTGCAAAAAAGTTTTTGACAGCAAATGTAAGGAAGCAATAATATATCTAATTAGAGCATTATTTTGAAGGCACTTGATATGTTGCAGCAAGAAGAGAGTTTTGTTATCTTTAAATAAAACATTTGGGAGAAAGAAATTGCAACATGTGGTGGACATATATCTCTTCTAAACTGAAGTGTTTCCTGCTAGGGAACTGATTTCTAGTTTTAGATGTATCGGTAACCTTTTAGTTATCAGGCAGTGGGCATTCTCCAAATAGAAAAAACACTAGTAGTAGCTAAGGTAATTCCTTTCCCATTTACGTAAATGTGCTTCAGGCCAATAAAATGCATGCAAAATGATTACAAAGTTAACTACATTTGCTAATATCATTTGCTTCTAGGGTCATACATTTTCAGCTCCTGGTGTCAGAGTTAACCAAAAAGGGAAAAAAATAAAATAAAAAGAGCCCCATTGCCATAAGAACAATAAATGTGTCATTGATTAAACTTCAGCTATTTTAAAAAAAATAAGCCTTTCATCTCTTGGATCTGTGCCTTTAATCTTGCAGGATAATCTCTTTTTCTTGCCATATTGACTGGAACAGGAGGAATTTCTCTAGAATTAAAGTTTTAAAACAATTGTTTCCATGCTGCCTTTACATATCAAACACCCCCCTTAAACTAATCTGTGAGACGAGAAGTTAAGTGACAAGCAAACAAGCTAGTATTTTTTTTTGTATCCTCTTTGTAAAAAAGGGCTATTGCACAGCTTAATCCCTTTCTTAATGGCTTTAAAATATTGTGGGCCTGATTTTATTTCACTTGCACTTGTGTGAATCGGGAGTGATTCCTCTGAAAACTGTGTTCCACGGGTATAAAATCCACATCTGTGAGATCCGAATCTGTCCTGCTGTTCCAGGAACAATGTTCTTTCTGTTAACTGGAGAATTGCTGTTTCTAGGTTTAAATCCAAAGGAGTCATTATCAAGAAACCCATAACAGCAGAGGGACACTTTTCACTAAAGATATGGTATACAACACATCAAGTTTTCCATGAACATGTGACAAAAAGAGTTAGCCAGGAAAAGACATAAAAACTGTATCAATAATAGATGACAGTGCGTGAGAGAGAAACACACAAGTGTTAGAGAAACTCTCAGCCACAACTGGATTGGAAGTGGGACTGTGCCTCTTGGGAGGGACCAAGGGGTGGGGGACCACACAGAAATAAACACATGTTCTTTTTTTTCTCCATCTGTAAATGACATTCTCACTCGCAGAATGCTGCAAACTTAGGGAAGCCAACTGTTACAACAGGGATGCTGCTTTTAAGTGTTACCATCAGCATGTGTGTTAAAAATTAAAGGGCTTTTGAAAAATACTGATATTTTGTTTAAATTATTAGCCATTTGCTAAAAAAGGAATCTAAGTTACTAACACCTTCTGCCATACTGGCTCTTGGTTGTTTGGAGAATAGATTTTGACTGAATAATTTTTCTGGATTGTTTACTTTGAGGAAGGGCTCCACACCTCAATGCTTAGCCCACTTTCTGTCTGTCTTGTAAGGACATTTATTATATCTGTGAAGTTTTTACAAACCACTAATTCTCTGTGCTGACCATACCTCATTTTAAAAAGTTTACAAGCCATCAGAAAGAACACATGCTGCATCATCTTCAGCCTCTGATATTCTACTTGAAGACCTATTTAGCTGCTTCTTGTAGTCTCCATTCTGTGCTGGCACTGGGAAGAATTCACAATAAACCAAAAGCCCTGGGAGATCTCATAAATGTACATGCATCTGTGTTTAACAGCTGGATTAAGGAACTGAATATTTAAATACAGTATCTAGGCAAAGTTCTCTTCTCATTTGTACCAATCATGACACATACAGGGAAGTATTTTAATATTAAGCAAGAAAATTAACAACAATCTTGATTTTTTTATGCGTAGATTGAAATGATATGTCTGATCCTGTTCTCAAATGATAGATCTCAAGAGCATTATGTTTCTCCTGTTAGCAAGTACACAACTGACTTTCAGAACATTTTTGTTTTTGTTTTTTGTTTCTTGCTAAAGCAAGAGCACTAGGGTTAAGTGCACAGCTATTGCATTGTAATATTTAATGAATTATCTTTACTGCAGCTTCCAAAGATGTGACATCATTTGGATCTGCACTGCTTTATGGACTGTTCTAAACAGATGACATCACTGCAACATGTAACTGTTTTCCAGAAAACAACTAGTAAAAATCTTAAATTCTCTTACCGCAGGTATTTTGCATGGAGCTGGACTTTCTCAGCTTCCCAAACAACGCTATCATCCAAGTGATCAACACGTTGAGCAGGCTCCAAATAGCCACGTCAAATATGTCTGGTAAAATTATTTAGACACTTGCTCATTTTTACATCCACATTGTTTATTAATAGGTTCTGGCATGTAGTCAAGTTAACAGGCTGCTCTCCTAGGAACGTCTGAGTTATAGCAGTTTATTTAGGAATGTTAAACACAAAGGTAGTGCATAGAAACCCAATCTGCAAATGATGGACTGCTGATCTGCTTCCAGCTTTGGAACTCTAGAGCTGATCTTTATTTAACGGCATCCAGTCAATTTTTACTTATTTATCATTGTGCTGAGCCCAAGAAAAATACTGCCCATCTCCAGAAATAGCTGTTAGTGAAGATAGGTTTATTTTCTGCACTAGATTTGTAATGAGTTTCTCAGGGTGGTTTCTCTAGTGGGATGAAAAATCACTTGACCTAGACAAAAATGATTGTGAACAATCATTTGAGCCAGCTCAAAACCAGAAGTGCACTTCCACTGGCACTTTGCAGCTGGGTTGCCAGGGGGTGCACTGTCGATCTCAGGAGGTGCACGTGTACTCCCTACGCATCGCCAATGATTATAAGCTGTTCCAAACCCTTCTGGATTGGGCAGGATACAAACCTAAATAGTGATAATCATAGAGAAATAAGGCTGGAAGGGATCTTTAGAGGTGATCTAATCCAACCCCCTGCCTAAGGCAGGATCATCCCTATCCAAACCAAATAATAACAATAATTATATTCATTATAACAAAAGTATCTATAAGAATCTGTTCACTAACACTGCCCCATCCCTGAGCCAGTTACTAACACAGACTTATGTTTTAAACAGGAAAATGCTTCAGTCTCTAGGAAGGCCAGAGGTCCACATGGCATTGGATGTAGTCATTGTGAGTGGATCAGGCCAGGAGCATGAAGGATGCTTGCTGCTTACGTCAGAGGTGTTATTTGTGGTCAGTGTCAGTGAAGACACACAACAACAGGCATTTCCTGTGACAGAAATTGAGTGTGTAGAAGACAGTCAACAAGAAAATTTGCTGAAAGTGCAGCTCAAACAACAAAGAGTACCTTATGATTCAGAGGTAAAGATATTTAATCGTATCACCATTTTAAAGATAAAATTGTATTAGTTGGTTTGTTAAGAGTATCTGTTGATGGCACACTCATCCATGGGTCAGAAAAATCAAAGATTAGAGACTGACACTAGCACCTGGTTTTCTTACTGCCCTCCATTGTTAGAGGTGCTATCATCTGGATAAAACATCAAACCCATCTGTTCCTTCTGCCTTGTGGAGCTCTTTTCTAGCTGAAATTTCAACAATTAACAGAGGGTTTTTCTGGAGAAGTAGGGGAATAAGCTTGGTATCTTAGCAAACATTAGCTGTCTTAGGAAGAAGTTCTAATGTCCACAGCCCTCTTGGTGAACTAATTATTGCTCAGGATGATATGATTTCTCCATTGCCTGCAAGTTGACAATGACACTAGTTCATTTATTATCTATTTGTGAATCCAGATGTCTTTATTTGATGCTTACCCTAATGGTTCAGCAGTGATAGCACACATTATTAGTTATTGTTCATCCTCACCTGGCAATTGTATTTACGATACAATGGTCTTGTTTGGTTGCTTGGATCATGCTGTACTTGATTCTCTCTGTTTTTCCTGGAAGTGTTTGTTTAATTTGCAGTAAATTCTATCAGCCTAACCATTATATTGCTGATATGGCATGCACCAAGAGTGAGCGTTCAAAACTGTTTAAAGTCCTTTGTTCCTTTATATAAATAAAGCAATCTGAAGAACAGAGATTCTGAGTTAATGACTTATAAAAAGGACAAGATTTTTCCATCAGTAAATATTTTGGGGAGACAATATTTGTTGCATCAAATCACACCACTCCTTATGTTAGACTTCTGAAAAGGAATCGTGTGAGAGTGCTGTCCGATATAAAAACTCCTTGCTCTAAAAACTCTTAACAGAAGTAGTCTGAAAATCTAGGAAAAAAGGAGGATATTGGATAAACTGGAAAAGCAGAGAATGGTAAAGCTAAAGTCAAACCACATCTCAGCTGAAATGCAGCCACCAGCAAAATGCCAGTGTGAACATGCCCCAGTGGCTTGAAATATTGGCAGCTGCATGCCTGAGTTTCCAGCCACAATACCTCCTACACCTTCCATTGACACAACCTCTTGCAGTGGGGATAGGTAGCAATAGCAACCAGCGATGTGCCTGCAACCGCTGTACAGAAGTCATACACCAACAAAAGTTCTGACAAAACTTTCTGGTGTAGATGTGGCTTACGTGTCTCTGCACTGTTTGGACAGTGGAGCTTGGAATGTATAGGTCTGAGAAGAAGCGGGTTTTTAGGAGCAGTTGAATGCAAGACAGATAAGCAGAGTAGAATTTTTTACACTAAAGCAGATACTCATAGAAAGACACCAAGGCTTTCTAAAAGTGTCCGACTTGCTTAGTCAGGTTCCAAGTTTTTTTTTTTAGTCAGTGGTTTCCTTTCTGGAGATGAGATACTCCCACAGTTCTGTGATACTGTTCCCTTATCCGCAGTTCTTCATGTTACTCTACATTGACTGTTGCCTTGCTAGCCAGGCCTCCTCTTCAGGCACTTGACTGGCCATGCCCTTTTTTCCAGCTACTAGAAGAGCCACTTGGACGTGGTGACATTGAACTAGGTACATGAGGCTAACTGGCTTGGAACTGTAGACAGAAAAAAAGTGTTGATGGAAAACTGTGGTGCCCTGAAGACTTCCTCAGCTGAAATACAAGCTTTTTTTCTGACTGTCACCAGCAGAGCTGAAACGTGTGTGTGTAAAGACTTTGAGAACTAATGTTGTGCCAAAGAGTAATAGTGTGTGTTCAGTACCAGCAGTGGGCTGTGCCATAAATATGTCTCAGCACCTGATGGTGATATGGACCTATGAAGATGAGGCTATACGCATCAATTAGCTCCACTGAGGCAAAGAAATACCTTTGGAGTAGGGATTCTGCTGTCAGCGGTATAACGTCTCAATCCAGAATCTGATTTTATCCACCCGTGTGTTGAGCCATCTGAGAACTCCTAGATAGCTCTGGCCCTCTGAGCACTTCTGAACAACTTGGAGCATAGCCCCAAGAGTCTTTTGTCTAGAGGAACTCCAGCTATTCTTCTGTCTAGGACAAGTGACAGCTCATTCAGTACCAGCTCTTGCCTGCAGCATTACTCAAGATGGGTGACTGGATGAAGACCAGATGGGGAAGGACCCTTGGTTTGAAGGAATACCCATAACTAACAACTTGTTTTTACCCACTTATTCATGATCAATAGGCTGTTCCTCTGAGAACTTACATTCTGTCTCCTGAGGTCAAAGAGCAGAGAACAGTGTCTTTTATCATCATAATGAGTTCTTCAAAATCTTGCTGTCACCTCTAGTTTTGCCATATGATCCATGGTTCCAAGGTGTACCCCTTCTGTGCTTGCTGTCTTTCCCTTGATATTCCTGTGATGAAGAGTGCTTTCATCTGTTGTTGAGCTTCTAGGCTATCCTTGAGGACTGTGTAGACACAAAGGATTGATGCAGTTTTGATGCGTTTGCTGCCACTGTGTTAATCGAGTTTCTCTCTGAACAGGAGAGAATTCAGATGAGCAAACGGTTTGTGTGGAGTGGCCATTTGCAGTCCAGGGACATAACCAGACATGAGGCCTGGCTGCTGAACTAGATGTAGTGGCCTGGCTAAAAATCTCATCACATTAATTGAGCCACCCATTATAGAAGCTGCTCTTAAGGATAGGTTTTTATAGATAGACCAAAGTCAGGATTTCTGTCCAGTCAGGACATAGTAGTTCTTGCAAAGAAGGTAGCAGCCACAGAACTGAAGAACTGTGTGGAAGCCCTGATTTTTTCCTCAGACACAGACATGCTCAAAAACGGTCAGTGAAATGTCTCTCTGTTGAAATATCTCATTCCCATCAGTTTCCCAATCCGCGGTGGAATTTCTGATCCCAGTGAGCAAGACAGATGGCCCCAAGGTGAGAGCACTTGCACAGAACGTTGGAGACCTAGGTCCAGTCCTTCTCTGAACCACGTGGCAAGGGAGTGCCCCGTGTTAAAAAAAAATTGCTAAAGAGAACTGCCATCTGATCATCCAGTCAGGGACTTTAGGACTTCCTTCAGCATAGTGATGGGGATGGACTTTGAACCCTACCCATGTGCTTTTCCTTCCACCCTTCCAGGTCAGTTGGTGCTTAAAATGAAACACAAGTAACTTTTGCCATGGAGCCAGAACTTCTGGCAGTAAGATGGAGAAAGGGGCATGACCAGCACAAGTTCAGTAATGAATTGTTTCTGGAACCAGAAAGAAGAACAGCCTACACATCACAGAACTGTTGAAGACAACTGGGCTGCATAAAAGATAGAATATCAACAAGAATATTACAGTTCCAGGATAGGAAGTTGAGCCTGATAACAAACTTAACGCTGTAGTCCTAGAATCATAGAAAATTAGGAATAGAAGGCAATTCAGGAGATCATCTAGTCCAACCCCCTGCTCAAAGCAGGACCAGCCCCAACTAGATCCTTCCAGTCAGGGTTTTGTCGAGCTGAGCCTTACAAGCCTCCAAGGATGGAGATTCCACCACCTTTCTAGGTGGTGCACTAGTCCAGTGCTTCACCACCCTCCTAGTGAGAGAGTTTTTCCTAATATCTAACATAAGCTTCCCTTGCTGCAACTTGAGACTATTGCTCCTTGTTCTGTCAACTGCTACCACTGAGAACAGTCTAGCTTCATCCTCAGTGTAACTACCTTTCAGGTAGTTAAAGGCTGCTATCAAATCCCCCCCCTCAGTCTTCTCTTCTGCAGACTAAATAAGCCCAGTTCCCTCAGCCTCTCCTCATAAATCATAGTCATTGCTATCTTTACTAGGTATGAATGGCAAATGCAAACATTGTGCATTCCCATAATTATCTATCTTATTGATTTCAGGCAGATGGGGTGAGAGAGAGACTCTCTGAACAACAATACAACCGACTTGTGGAGTACGTCACAAAGACATCCTACCATGTTGCTCCAAGTACCTCTTCTGTGCAGATATCACCAGTAGCAGCTGCTGAGCCACTTCCAAGTACCATTAAGACATATCAATATGTAGTTGATCCAAATTTTGCCCAGGTGTTCATTAGCAAATTCACTATGGTCAAAAATAAAGCTTTGCGGAAGGGATTTAATTAGAAATGACTTGCATTGCTATTTTAAGAGTAATGCTTTCTATGCAGTAAACTAATATGAACTTTTTTTTTTTAATTACACATCACATAAAAGATGTATTTGAGTTTTGTGGGGTTGTGGGTGGTAAGCGATTTAAAAGCCAACCTAATGACTTTTCTGATCTAACTATATGGACAGCTTTGCGATACCTGCTGTCTCACTAGTCAATAAGTTAGTACTGGAAGGAAAGCAAAGCAAAGCTGATGCGTTAACTAAACATGCTAGCAGACAGATAATTCCAATAAAAGGAATGTAACAATGAAAATCCTTTGTCCTTCTGCTAACTGGAAATCAGAGGAAGGACAAGGGAAATCCTATGCACCAAGACATTTTGCCTCACAAAACATGAATAATATCCATACTCCCTATATCATATTTTAGGGTCTGCCAGTTTCTGTTATAAACCAGGTTTAAAACTCAGCTGTAAAAACTTGCTCAAGGCTGAGACTCTTTTTCCCCGTCCCCGCCAGCGTCTAGGTCCTGAAGCAAAACATTTCCCCCCACTAAATCTGAAAGACCTGATGTGGCTGTTTTAAGTTACTAGTGACAGCTGGGTTTTAGCACCACTCTAACCTTAAAATAGCTTCCTTTATTTGACTGAAATTTTGCAGGACATTAGTCCTTAATGTAAACGAGTGCCTTTGTGTGGTTTGGGGAATAAAATGGGAACTACAACGTGAATTTATTTTTAAAACTGTCTGTATACAGAAACCTTCCATCACCAAGTTTTCCTAGGAATTTCCCATATATATGCCATTGTACATTGTCTAGCAAAATGTAGTTACACAAGAAAGACACAAGCAGTTTTCATTTTGGAACCAGTAACACACTTTTGAAAAGATTTTAGGAGCAGTGTTTATTCTTATTAAAAAATGTACCAAAAATACATGAGCATGTTGCACCTTTAAACCCAAGTGCTAAACTTCACTCTTACCTCACCTTGGTGGTCCTCACTGTTCCTGGCTTCCCCAGTCAGTGCAAATGGTACCTCCCCTCACTTAGGCCATCTGCAATTCATCTCATGCTTGTCACCCGTAAAATGACAAAGCCCGGAAATTCAGAATCAAGACAGTGAAGTCATTTATTAAACCAGACCATTCAGCTATAGTTGTGCACAGAAATGCCCATTTTTGCACAGTTGAACACTTGGAAGTTTCTTGGAGTGAGTCTCATGGCACATAACTGTGAAAAGAGCACGAAGGTAGAGTTGGCTGAAAGCTGTCATTGGTAAAGCCTAGGGCTGGCAATAGCAACATTGCTGAGATGTAGAGGTTTCCCTTGGCCTCTAGTACTGCCATTACATTATCTGTGGCATCAGTCTTAGGTGCTACTTCTAACAACCAGTGTAGACAAAAACATTTCAGACAAAAATATGCTTTTTAAGTTAAGAGTGTCCATTAAGCCACTTTTTAAAATTGGTTTTACAGTTTGTATTTGCCAAGTATTGCTCTCACCAAAGAGCAGCTTGATTGCTTTACAAAGCCAATGGGGCAGCTTTCATTTTCAGTGGTAAAAATGCATTTGATCAGTTTCTTGGGTTACATGAGCTTCTGCTTTAAACTGTGCCTGTATCTTTTCTCCTTCTGTCTATGTATTTATTGTTTGGGGGTTCCTGAACACAACCAGAGATTGAGGAAAGGTAACAACTGGAATCAAATTATTCATTACCTTTAATATTCAGTAAAAACGAGTTAGTTACTGCTGTTAATCTCTGTTGCCTATGCATAACTAGCGTGACCAAATGCAGTAAAATAAGAATGTACTAAATGCAGTGTGTTTTTCCTGAATTCTGCTTTTGGAAGCCATGTTTCCTGTGTATTGATAATACAGAAGAAAGATTTGAAATGAACTGTCCTTTGCTGAATGTGAAATAAGTCCATCCATTCTTAATGTAACATTTTGTGAAGAGATCTAATACCTTGGTCACTGTTTAAGTAACATTATTTAAAGTGTAAATATAAATTCTTCATTCCTGAATATTTTATGGAAAATAGTTTACTATTGTTAATTTTACAGACTGGTGCATAAATTGTAATATACCAAGATTATATAAAGAGAATAAAGCTATTCCTACAATACTAGCATCTTCCTACTACATAATCACAGTCGTGGTTACAACTGAAAGAGAACACAGCATAGAATACAGAATCCCCTCAAGTTCAGCCTCCAGGATAGTGGACTTTGCTGTACCCCAGAAAATGCACTAGACCATGACACACATTTTTAGCTTCATATGTAATATTTTCCAAGGAGAAACTGGCACCCAGCTGATCAGCGCATGTGCTGAAATGTTTCATGACCCCACAACTAATTAAGTTAAAGCAGCAGCATAGTTACGATGCAGCTCACCTCAGAGAACAAGGGATGAATTCACTAAAAGCTTATAAAACACACCTGTTAGAGGCAGCGGGTTGTCTTCTGAAGTTGTTGTATGGTTGCAACTAATAGTGGAGATTACACTGACATTTTCCTGAATTATGCCACTTTTCTGGCATATCACTTGTTTATATTGCACTCCCGTCTATGGTGATACAAGCCAGTGTAGTTATGGCATTTGGCAGAAGGTTTCTCCCCACTCCTTGTCTGAATGCACACATGGAAACATATGTGGAGACTTCACATAAATCAGTCTCTCCTATATATGACCCCTGGGTGGGTAAACTGTGGAAAAAAAATAAAAATAAAAATTGCCCAGGCAGCAGATGACTGTCACTGGCTGAAGCACTGTAGGGGTTTTTTCACCCCTTTTTTTGTCTCATCCTATTGCTTGTCCTGAAGGGCACTCAGCCATCTTTTTAATTTCTTCCTTGCGCAAGTTTCTGGCCTGTAAACTTTATTCTGGCATGTTTAAGGAATGATGAATTATTCTGGGAGTATAACGTGGCAGTCAGGACTGAAAGGCCACTGAGGTATATCCTTCCCTTGATCCAGGTCAGGAACAACCAACCTGTGTCAGGGAAGCCACAAGTGGCAAATGGCAGACTGGGGAGGGGACAGGCAGAGAAACCAGAGCATTAGTTGGGTAGGGAGCACAAAGCAGGGCAACAGATCAAGGTTAGCCAGGTATTTGAGAAGGGTACACCTTGATATGAGGGCACAGACATTTTGCATATGTGCACCACTGACAATATGCCAAAAGACTGGCCTCAAGGTTAGAACAGTTCCCTTCTGTATCAGAGAAGCAGGATTTACTACCTTATTCATTTGGGGACGGTTTCCCCACAATCACAGTAATAGCTAGTATGCTAGCTGTTTCCAGGTCAAGCTCTCAAGAATGACAGCCCAGAAGCTGTGAAGAACACTTTTAGGGCACATCATCATCTAAAGCCCTACTTGTCCCTTAACAGTTGTGAGAGTGATCACTTTGAAGCCTGCATAAAGTGCAGGGGCTTGAGACATAACAGATGAAAAGGGATTGGGGGAGGAGAAGAGCTGAGCACATGCTTCCTAATAAAAACTCCACTATGAAAGGAAGTGGAGCTAGTGCTGCAGGAACATAGGATCTAGGGCTAAATGCATAAAAAGGCTTTGAGACTGATACAAGTCACAGCTCTTTTAGGTGACCAAGCTCCTCCAACAGTTCTCAGGGAGTTAGTAATCTGTGCTTCCCAGAAGTCAGCAAGCTGATCAGGGAGCTGCCTACACCTTTGCTCTGACTGGCATGTAAGTGTCTGTCTCTTACCTCTTATAATTCCCAGGCAGGAAGGCCAGTCCTTGCCCTGCACTGTACCCTCCCAAGAGTGTTATCATTTCAGATACAAGCACCAACCACCCCCACCAGAAACAACAGGGGCGCGCTCTCCTGTTCAAGTTGTTCCATTTGGTACAAGTATTAAACTAGAAAATGAGTCAACTCTGAGCTCAATAGTTAAAATTTCTCTCTGGCATTAAAGTCCCCTCCTTCCAAATCAGGTAGTGGAGACCTGAAAACCTAACTCCCCCCCCCCCCCCCCCCCCCCCCACACCCAC